TATTTCTGACACTTCAACATAGTATGATAACACCTGAGGGAGAGTAGAGTTTTTTCCTCCTTAGCTCTTTCTTACCTTTCTCTTCCTTTGACTGATTATACAGGATACAGAGAGTTTTAAAAAAATATAATAATGCCATAAGTCAACAGAAGGGTTTGTGTTTCCTACAGATGTCTCCCCCTCTGACGGTGTACACAGCCCCTCCCAGGTGGAGCATGGATCTGAGAGGATAACAGAGAAACAGGAAAATGACAGAGAAGCACGTAGAGATAATGAAGAATGCCAAAGCTATTGAGAGCTCTTCTGATTGGACTATGTAAAGACGGGATCAGTCTTGGCTTTCTCAGGTTATAGCTCACAGTGACTCAATGAGAAGAATAAGGAAATGCTTTCCACATCCTCTATACATGTGTGATCTTCTAATAAACACATTTACCTTCTAGCTATGGACCTACATGCCCTCGCACATGTTCTAGGCACAACCAAGTGATTACATTCCATTTTTCAGACGAGAAAAACTGAGGCTAAGAGAAGCTGAGTAATTTGCCCCAGTTTCCATACCTAGAAAGTGGAGAAGCTGAGAATTCAAATGCTGGTGTGACAAACTTGAAAGCATTTGCTTTCCTTACAGCACCACACTGCTGTTGGACGGGTGAAGGAGGATTGATAAGTGGCATTACAGGTGGACTATGAAGGTGAACAGACTTCCCATAAAGGAGCTGAGATGGAAGGACATTTCAAACAGAGGGAACAGCCTGAGTAAAAAGAAAGGCAATGCGGTCAGGTGTGGCAGCATAGACCACGTGTAGCAGAAGGGAAACCAGGCTGGAAAGGTGTATCGGAGCTGGAGGCAAAGGGCCTTGAATATCAAGGGAAGAAATTTTACTTTATTCTGCAGGCAAACCTTTTTGAACAAGGGAGTAACACGAGCATTGATGAAAGGCAAAGCTTTAAATAGTGAAGGTCTAAATAATAATAATTCACTGGGGAGGGATTTTCAACTCAAACAGCATTCAAAGATTTTAACTCGAATAGTATCTTTAACATTAAGTACACTTGGACGAACTTGGGTCTGTATTCAAATTTAATAATATAGTTGAATTTCATATACTTTTCATTGTTGTTGTGTGGAGACTTAAGAATTTCAACAAGGGAGAGAGACACAGAAACCCAATTCACAAACCCAAGTGTCTGTTCTTTGGGTGGGCATATTCCTAGACTGGAGATGGAGGCATAGAGCTTTCATTTTTGAAGACAATAGCCAGTGTGATCATCCAACTATATTAACCAATATATTAACCAACTATATTATTATATATATATAACGTTCCATCCAAAAACAGCAGAATACACATTCTTCTCAAGTGCACATGGAACATGCTCAAGGATAGAGCATATGTTGGGAAACATGGCAAGCCTCAACAAATTTAAGAAGACTGAAATCATATCAAGCATTCTTTCTCACTGTAACACCATGAAACTAGAAATCAGCTACAAGAAAAAAGCTGGGAAAGTGACAAATATGTGGAGACTAAACAGCATGCTACTGAAAAACCAATGGATCCTTGAAGAAATCAAAGGAGAAATTAAAAAATATCTGGAGACAAGTGAAATCACCATAGACAAGAGAAAATACACCATGCTAACTCATATGGGATGCAGCAAAAGTGGTCCTAAGGGGAAATTCATAGCAATACAGGCCCACCTTAACAAACAAGAAAAATCTCAAATAAGCAATCTTAAACTACACCTAACAGAATTAGAAAAGGAACAAACAAAGCCCAAAGTCAGCAGAAGGAGAGAAATAATAAAAACGAGAGCAGAAATAAATGAAACCAAAACCAAAAAAATGGCAGGAAGGATCAATGAAACTAAGTGCTAGTTCTTTGAGAATATAAACAAAATCGACAAACCCTCAGCCAGACTCAGTAAGAAAAAGAGAGAAGTCTCAAATACATAAAATTATAAATTAAAGAGGAGAAATTGCAACAGATACCACAGAAATACAAAGGATTATAAGAAAATACTATGAAAAACTTTATGCCAATAAATTGGACAATCTAGAAGAAATGGACAAATTCTTAGGCATATACAACATCCCAGAACTGAATCAAGAATAAAAAGAGAAGCTGAATAGACCAATCATAAGTAAAGAGGTTGAAACAGTAATCAAAAACCTCCCCAGAAATAAAAGCCTAGGACCAGTTGGCTTCTCTGGAGAATTCTACCAAACATTCAAAGAAGATTTAATACCTATCCTTCTCAAACTATTCCAAAAAACTTAAGAAGATGGAACATTTCTTAACACATTTTACAAGGCCAACATCACCCTGATCCGAAAGCCAGACAAGGACAATACCAAGAGGGAAAATTACAGGCCAATATCACTGAGGAACATAGATGAAAAATCCTCAACAAAATATTGGCAAACTGAATACATCAATATATTAAAAGGATCATTCACCATGATCAAGTGGGATTTATACCAGGAACACTGGCGTGGTTCAACATCCACAAGTCAATCAATGTAATACACCATATTAACAAAATGAGGAATAAAACCCACATGATCATCTCAATAGACACAGAGAAAGAATTTGACAAGATCTAAATCCATTTATGATAAAAACTCTCAATAAAATGGGTACAGAAGGAATGTACCTCAACATAATAAAGGCCATATATGACAAACCTACAGCCAACATCATACTCAATGGGGAAAAACTGAAAGCCATCCCTCTGAGAACAGGAACAAGACAAGGGCACCCACTCTTGCCACTCTTATTCAATGCAGTACTGGAGGTTTTGGCCAGAGAAATTAGGCAAGAAAAAGGAATAAAAGGAATCCAAATAGGCAATGAAGTGAAACTCCCACTGTTTGCAGATCACATGATTTTATATATAGAAAACCCTAAAGAATCCATTGGAAGTCTATTAAAAATAATCAACAACTACAGCAAAGTTTCAGGGTACAAAATCAAATTACAGAAATCAGTTGCATTTCTATACCCTAATAATGAACTAACAGAAAGACAACTCAAGAATACAATCCCATTTACAATTGGGACAAAAGAATAAAATATCTAGCAATAAATTTAACCAAGGAGGTGAAAGATCTATACAATGAAAACTGTATGACATTATTGAAAGAAATTGATGATGACATGAAGAAATGGAAAGATATTCCATGCACACGGATTGGAAGAATAAACATAGTTAAAATGTCTATACTACCTAAAGCAATCTACAGATTCAATGCAATGCCAATCAGAATGCCAATGACATTCTTCACTGAAATAGAACAAAGAATCCTAAAATTCATACGGGGCAACAAAAAAGCGATCCTGAGAAAAAAGAACAAAGCTGGAGGCATGACAATCCCTGTCTTCAAAATATGCTACAAAGCTATCGTAATCAAAACAGCATGGTACTGGTACAAAAACAGACACACAGATCAATGGAACAGAACTGAAAGCCCTGAAATAAAACCACACATCTACAGACAGGTAATCTTTGACAAAGGAGCTAAGAACATACAATGGAGAAAGGAAAGTTTCTTCAATAAATGGTGTTGAGAAAACTGGACAGTCACATGCGAAGGAATGAAAGTAGATCGTTATCTCTCACCATTCACAAAGATTAACTCAAAATGGATCAAAGACTTGAAGGTAAGATGTGAAACCATAAAACTCCTAGAAGAAAATAGAGGCAGTACACTTTTGACATCAGTCTTAGAAGGATGTTTTCAAATACCATGTCTACTCGGGCAAGGGAAACAAAAGAAAAAATAAACAAGTGGGACTTCATCAGACTAAAGAGCTGCAAGGCAAAGGAAACCAGGATCAAAACGAAAAGACAACCCACCAACTGGGAGAAAATATTGGCAAATCATATATCTGACAAGGGGTTAATCTCCAAAATATTTAAAGAACTCATACAACTCAGCAACAATAAAACAAACAACCCAATCAAAAGATGGGCAGAGGATATGAACAGATGTTTTTCCAAAGAAGATATACAGATGGCCAATAAGCACGTGCAAAGATGTTCAGCATTGCTAATCATCAGCGAAATGCAAATCGAAACTACAATTTGATATCACCTTACACCTGTTAGAATGGTTATAATTACCAAGACAAAAACCAACAAATGTTGGAGAAGATGTGGGGAAAAGGGAACCTCCATACACTGCTGGTGGGAATGCAAATTGGTGCAGTCACTATGGAAGAAAGCATGGAGAGTTCTCAAAAAATTAAAAATAGAAATACCATATGACCCAGCTATCCCACTACTGCATATTTATCCACAGAACTTGAAATCAACTATTTAGAGACTTATGCACCCCTATGTACATTGCAACATTATTCTTAATAGTCAAGACGTGGAAGCAGCCCAAGTGCCCATCGACTGATGAACAGATAAAGGTGTGGTGTAATATATATATATATATATATATATATATATATATACACACACACACACACACACACACAATGGAATATTACTCAGCCATAAAAAAGGACAAAATCATCCCATTTGCAACAACATGGATGGAACTCGAGGGTATTATGTTAAGCGAAATAAGCCAGACAAAGACAAACACTGTACAATTTCACTCATATGTGGAAGATAAAGGAACACATGGATAAAGAGAACAGATTAATGGTTACCAGAGGGGAAGGGGGTTTAGGGATAGGCATAAGGGGTAAAAGGGCACATATATATGGTGACTGACAAATAATAATATACACCTGAAATTTCACAGTGTTATAAACTATTATGACCTTAGTGAAATAAAATGAAATAAAATAAAAAAAGAATTTGAGGGTCTGGCGCCATGGCCCAGTGGTTAAATTCATTCACTCCGCTCGGTGGCCCGGGGTTTCACAAGTTCGGATCCCAGGCGTGGATGCGGCACTGCTCATCAGGTCATACTGAGGCAGCATCCCACATCCCACAACCAGAGACACTCACAACTAGAATATACAACTATGTATTGGGGAGCTTTGGGGAGAAGAAAAAAAAAAAAGAATTTGAGTTACGAAAACCAAGTAAGCACTCACTTTAACAAACCCCTGGTTCAATAGTGTTAATGGACAACGGCAGTGGAAGTTACCAAGTTAAGTGAGCCAGAAAGGAAAATTCCCGATGTTCATGAGAGCTTCAGCTGAATCAGTGCATTTTTGTTTCACTATAATTCTCCTCTTGTTCCATCCCTACTGAGGTGACTCACAAGCTACAAAAGTTCTTGGCCAATTACGTCAGGTTGGCTTTTGTTAGCCCTGAAAGAGAACACCTTTAATTTAACAAAAGTCAGCTTTATCGCAGTATAGTCTACGTATACTAAAATTCACCAGTTTAAAATGTACAGTTTGATAAGTTTTGACAAATATATAGTCATGTGACCATCACTACAATCAGGATAGAGAACATTTTCGTTTCTCCGAAAAGTTTCCTTGTGCCTTTTTGAAGTTAATCCCCTTCCCTGTCTCCCAGCCCCTAGAAATCACTCATCTGTTTTCTGTCACTACGGTTTTGCTTTTTCTAGAATTTCATATAAATGGAATCAAATAGGTGGTAGCCTTTTGTGTCTGACTTCTTTCACTTACAATGCTTTTGAGATCACCCATGTTGTATGTATCAACAGTTGTTCCTTTTTATTTCTAAGTAGTATTCCATTGTATTTATAAATTGCTATTTGCTTATCTATTGACCTTTTAATGGACATTTGGATTGTTTCCAGTTTTTGCCTATTATGAATAAAGCTGCTATGAACATTCAGACATAGGTATTTGTGTGCACATCTGTTTTCATTTCTTTTGAGTAAATACCTAGAATGTATTTACAATACACTGTAAATATGTTGAATTGAATTGTAAGTGTATGTTTAACTTTAACTCGTCAACTCTTTCCAGAGTGGCTGCATCATTTTGCATTAGTGAGATCAACGGCAAAAGTTTCAGTTCCATATCCTCACCTACACTTGGTGTTGTCAAATCTTAAATTTTTAGCCATTTTAGTATGTGTTTAGTGATAGCTTATTGTTATTTTGATTTACATGTCCCTAATCACCAATACAATTGTTCACATTTCAGTGTTTTATCCTCTTTGGTGAAGTGTCCTTTTAAATCTTTTGCCCATTTAAAAAAGTGGATTATTTTTCTGAATACCAATCCTTTGTCAAAATATTTTTCTCTCAATCTGTGGTTTACCCTCTCATTTTCTTAAGAATGTCTTTCAAAGAGCTAAAGTTTCAAACTTTGATGAAGTGCCATTTATAAACTTTCCATTTGTGTCCTATCAAAGAAATTTTTGCCTAACCCAAAGTCACAAAGATTTCTTTTTATGTCTTCTGCAAGTTTTATAATTTTAGCTCTTATGTTTAGGTCTGTGATGCATTTTGAATGACCTTTTTTTTCATGGTGTGAGGTAAAGGTTAAGGTTCATCTTTTTCCCGTATGGATATCCAATTTCTCCAGCACCATTTGTTGAAAAGATTGTCCTTTCCCCATCAAATTACTGTATTATTTTGCTAGGGCTACCACAACAAAGTGCCACGGACGGGTGGATTTAGCAGCAGAAATTCATTTTCTCACAGTTCTGGAGGCTAGAAGCCCTAAATCAAGGTGTCAGCAGAGCCGTGATCCCTGTGAAGCCTTTATAGAAGAATCTCTCCTTGCTTCTTTTAGCTGCTGGTGGCCCCAGGCATTCTTTGACTTGGGGTTGAATGAATGAGTGAATGAGTTTCTACTGACCATATGACTTAAATCTAATTGTTGACACATGCAGATAGACGCAGGCACAGTACTGCTCTTGAAAGCATTGTTTTATACAGGGAAAACTGGGGGTAGGGTGGGGAGAAATCTCTATCAATAGAGGATTGGCTAAGTAAATTATAGTACATTTACACAAAGTCACCCTATACAGTCATAAGAGATGGTGATGTAGATTTGTATTTATTGAAATGACAAGTTATCCAGGATATCATGTAAAGCAACAAATGACCAAATCCCAAAGCACAACTGATTGAATGGGACCCATCTTCATGGTGTAAAATTGTATTCACATATTTTACATGTATCTATGTAAAGCTAGGTATCTAGAAATTATCAAAATATTAGCAGTGATTTCATCTAGGTGGTGAGATTTTAAGTAATTTTTTCTTGGTAGTTTTTGTATTCTTTAGGTATTTTATGGTAAGAACGTAATCATTTTATTTTGGCAGTTACATATAAGTTGTCCCGTCAGTGGAAACTCATTCATTCATTCATTCAATACTAATTGAACTTCTACTGTGTTCCAGGCACCTCTAGACCCTATAGCGTGCAATCATATTTCTTTCTTATGTGTTATATGTAGCCTTATTCCAGAACTATTTGAAGCTGACCACATCATCTACTTCTCACTTGGAGATAAAAATGACTTGATGAAACAAGATACAGTTTGCATGGCATGACCCAGAATGCCTGGCACTTGGGGGTTTTGCTGAATGTTAATTGGCTCCCTTCTCCTCTTGAGAGTGCCATTTTTGCTACACCTACAGTTAACTAACACTGTATCACAATGAAATGCAACAAGTAGGAGTGAGGATTTATTATTACTAACCATCACTATTGAACCAATGCCTCTTGACACTTCTGCTGCTGTATCAGATGCTCTTTGAAAGTTGAGGCCAGTAGCAGATGTTCAGTGAATATGAGTAAACTTGACTTTCCTTTGCAGCTTTCTGAATACACGGTCAAAATAGATGTTTTCCAGTGAGGAATCCTGGAGACCACAGGAGGTACAGCATTTAGAACAACGGGCCCCATTCCAAGTGCTAATGTCTCCTCTCAGCTGTAACAGTGCTTCTCAAAATTTTCCCCAGGGGAGTGAATTGTACCGAGAGGAGCTGGTGGTATAGTGTTACACAGTTATTAAAATCATAAAATGTAGGGGCTGGCCCCGTGGCCGAGTGGTTAAGTTCGCCGCTCCGCTGCAGGCGGCCCAGTGTTTTGTTGGTCCGAATCCTGGGCGCGGACATGGCACTGCTCATCAAACCACGCTGAGGCAGCGTCCCACGTGCCACAACTAGAAGGACCCACAACGAAGAATATACAACTACATACCAGGGAGGTTTGGGGAGAAAAAGGAAAAAAAATAAAATCTTTAAAAAAAAATTAAAAAAAAAAATAAAATAAATAAAATCATAAAATGTCCTTTAAGTCATCTATATTTGAATTTTGCATCCTATTCCACAATGTCTTTTTTTTTTTTTTCACAATGTCTTTTTTATACAGTTTTAAAATAGCGTCTTTCTTTAACAAAAAATGTTTTTCTCTTCTAAGTAAAAGTGACACTCGAGGAAGGCAGATCTCGTTTATTGGGAGCTTTGTATTCTCCTTTGTATACCCCAGGTTTCTGGGAACCCCAATTTGAAAAATGCAGGCCCTACTATTTTTGCTCTTATCCACGCTTAAATGAGGACAGTATTCTTCCACTTTGCTTTTCAATAGCTTGAAACTACAATACAGAGCAGGGGCCGCAAGCTGCAGTGCTGATAGCCAGGCGGCCACCGTATTAGGATTTCTGCTGCACAAGGAATAGAAATTTACTTGAGCTACATAAGTGGAGAAACAAACCAACAAACCAACAAACCAACACACCTGGAGGCTTCCTCATAGGGATATGGGGAGTTTCAGAGACCAGAGAACAGGAGATAAAAGGCTGTCTGGATTCAGTCTCTGCACATTTCCTTCTCTCTCCACAGATCGGCTCCCCACGATTCTCTGTGCACATGAGGAGAAACATGGCTGCCTTCAGCCCTGAACTTACAGATGTGTAAGAGATTGACACACAGTCAGTCTCTTGGTCCCACATCCCATGGCATACTCTGGTTGCTTCATCTGCTATGTCCAGGAAAACGGTGTTTGCAGAACAAATATGACATCCCAGGGCCCATCCCTGCCAAGAGGACTTCCTTCCTAGAAAACAAGGAAGTGTAAATTAGGCTGACACTCCAAAGGGCAAAACTAGTGGCAATGGCCTATCAGGCTCTTAATGGAATGCGGCTCTAAGCGCACAGCAGAGAGAACCAGAGATAACTAACTAACTGAAGGATCTTTTAGTACACCACTTTGAAGAAAATGGTGCAGTCAAACCCGTTTGTAGATGCCTACAGTTTGTGGAAACATGAATGGCTATGACCGACCTGTTAACAAACTACAAACTTTCAATATCTCAACAAAGTCCAAATTCCTGACTCTTTGTATTATCCCTCCTGAATATTTCGTCTAGATTTTTAAAATTTAGATGCAATTTAGTCCTGTTAAAAAAAATTCAGGCAAGTCCTAATGAGAGCTCCCAGGGAAATCTGGAGGAGTAATTTAAAAATACCTAATATTTTACACAAAGAGAATATATGTATCAGACAGCAACTATGGTCCCACTTTTGGTTTGTCATGTAGTATACCAGGCGCTGCTTCATCTATCATTCCACATCTAGTATATAAGTGGTCGAACAAAAAATGGGCAAACATTACCAGAAGTTATCTCCCTCTTTAAAATCCTTTGGTGGTAGGGCTGGCCCCATGGCCGAGTGGTTGAGTTCGTGCCCTCGGCTTCGGCAGCCCAGGGTTTCGCGGGTTTGGATCCTGGGCACGGATGTGGCACTGCTCATCAGGCCATGCTGAGGCAGCATCCCACATGCCACAACTAGAAGGACCCACAGCTAGAATATACAACTATGTACTGGGGGGATTAGGGGAGAAAAAGCAGAAAAAAAATCCTTCAGTGGTTCCAAACTCCTTTATATGGCACATTAAACCCTTCTTGACATTACCTCCTGTCTCCTTCACATATCCACCCCCGCCCCCCGACTAATTGTTTTCAAACAATAAGTCACAGCCTATTAGTGGGGTTGTAAAATCACTTTAGTGGATTGTCACCAGTATTTTCAAAGTGTGGAGGATAATAAAATAGAAAAGAGAAGACGTGGGGCACATAACAGCATTTTGTAAAATGTAAGTTTCTGATATATGTATTGTTTGTCCGCGTGTGCATCTGTCACATCACGCGGTTAGAGTATATTTCTTTCTATAGGTTATGCTCCAGATGTTTGAAAGCCACTGCCTCAGGTGTCGCTTCACCAGTCTTCTTGTTCATGCTTTCACAATTGCATGCCTCTGCACATGCGAAGTATTGCTCCTTGTAGGACTGGCAAACGTTGACTCTTGTTTTTGAGTCCACTCAAACATCATTTCTGTTGTGAAAACTTTGCTCATCTCTAGGTTATCAGCAAGTGGGCACACAAACCTCTTTCATGGTCTCAGTCTGTAAGCTTCGGAAAGGAATGCCTGTGCCTTACTTATTTTTAGGTCTTCAGTGTTTAGCATAGCAACCAATAAGAGCTTACTAAATATTTGTTACTGAAGCTCTAAGCTCGATGAGCTGTTTACTTTTCTTAAACATTTGAAGCCCTGAAAAAGTCTCTTAAAACCAAAGATTAAAACATATTCTGCTAAAACTTGCTATTATACCTTACTGTACTCACTGCAATTATGTTCATTTTACATTAAAGTAAAAAAAAAAAAAGAATAGCAATTCATCTCCAAGAAAGCAGTTTAAAATTGCTGTTTTTATTATTTTTATTTGCTACCAATATTTTTATTGTAAGAAATACAAAAGGTATGACAAATATACAAACCATTTTCTCTTTTTGCTTCAATTTAGCTTGTGCATAAGTGAAAACAATGAACTGGACGTGACATTTCAACACCAATTCTTAAAAAACAATGAATTCCATTATCTGACAATAAATACCTAAATTTGCATTCTAGCACCCAGTAAGACATCCAGTTTCCAAAGGATTATTGAGCTGTAACCCTCTGAATTTTCTGACATGTTCTTTGCCATTGCAACAGAGTCACCATTGGCAGTTCTCTCTCCAAAGAAGTCTCAGCAAGGCACACGCCAGAATGGCTACCTCGGGCCCCAGAGACCCTGGGTCACAAAGCCCCCCTTACTTGAGCTACTTTTTAAAACAGATTGCTAGTGATGGGGTATTTAATCTAAGTTTCGGTAGTCGTTATATTACATGCTTTACACGACACAAACACCTACTTTTCTATTTTCTGCGTCAGGTGGGAAGAGCCTACATAAACTGACCTGTATTTTCATCCACCTAAAGGGAAGGAAGCAAGATCGTTCAGCTCAGGGCACTATGAAAAGGGTAACTTTACAGGTAAGCCTTCTTTCTTTTCTTTTTTTTTTTTTTTTCTTTCTCAGGAGGGCTTTGTGTATGAAATGGAGAGATGGTCGTTAGAGTGAGACGGTCCTTCCCATTCTGCTGTCTACACCCGAGGCCATTTTTCTTTGAGGGCTAAATGATCGGGATATGTAGGAAGGTCCCTGCTTTCAGAGAGGCGCACTGCGCCCACACTTGGGGAGAGCACAGGGTTTATGTAACCTGTGAGGAAGGACACCCAGGTGAACCTGACAGGCCAGTGTGGTAACTCTCCATCTTGTGTACAGAGAAAAGAGCAGAAGCAGTATCTAACACCAAGCCATCTGCCAACATTCTTGTAAGACTGTTCCAGGCAGTGAATTTCCACATTGTTTCTTTGACCTGCTGAACCCAAAGCACCAAAACAGAGCATTCTGTAGCAATATGAGCAACGGAATGAAAGTAATTTTGCACCTTTAAGGAACATGCACCCTTATAAATCTGTACCCTGATATTAAAATAGCAGAATGAGTTTCAAGTATGAAGAAATACAGTAAAAGTATAGCCTGTAGATGAATAGAAAACAGCAGCCTGGAACATGGTTTATATTCTTCATTAGTTTTTCTCTTTGTACACAGCCAAAACTGAATGCTCTGTAGAATGACTTGATTTAAAAATCAAGATACAGATGAAGATGCTAGAGGGCATTTGTGATTGAATGTTGTGAGTGTATTCTGTGCCGAGCACCAGGAATCTTCTCTTGATGACTGTGGCCAGCCAAAAGTCAAGTAGGGGTAGTGGCTAAGCCTGAGCAGGCACACCTGTGATGCCCAAAGCATCTCTCCTCATGTCCCCGACGCCCAAGGAGCGGCAGAGGAGGATGGAGAGCGCCACGTGGACAGGTCAGAATGAGGGTAGGGAGCACTTCAGAGGGAGGGAGGAAAGGATGCAGGGGATAGGTGAGTACTGGTTATCCTGGGCGGGCTCACATAGCCTGGATTAGTAGCTGACATGCACATGTACAATCTCCATACCTCCAGAACTGTGATTTCAAACAGAGAAACCCACAAGTCAAATGTTCAAATTAAGATTTTTTTCCTACCTTTAAAACATTTTCTAAGTTAAAAAAAAAAAAAAAGCTCACTGGGTGTGACAGCCTTGCTGAAGCCTAGAAGAAAGTTTTAACTAGGCCCTATGGGAACGCAGAAACAGAAATACATTTTACAGTGAAAACGTGCTTTTACACATCTCAAAAATGACAATCCTATAAAATCCTCTAGTTCTAATCTGCACTTTACGGGAACTGATATTGTGCTTTTCTTAACACATACTGCTCTTCTATACCAAACACTTGCTGTTTAACCCTCAGATCAAAACCTAAAATACCAGAAATGCAACAAGCTTTTGAGGTGTTGGGGACTGTTAGTTGTTAAAATCCCATTGTTGACTATTGTACACGCAATCCTTGTTTTTATTACCAGACTGTACTGCTTCTGTACAAAACCAAGTTGCTTGAAGCACAGAAACTTGGACTTCTCCATCTAACACGTTCTGGAAGCCTCAAGGCACAAGCTGACAGTTCTGCTTCTACAGGAAACTCTCACACTGCTCTCCTGTCAACAGGACCACCTATTGCTGCCACTGCACACAACACCTCCAAGGGCACTAAAGCGCTCAGGAGAACCACTTCTCAAGGCCAGACCAGAGGCTCCGCCCAGGCACCTGTCTCTGCCCGGCCTCTACTCTAGTGGCCATCTGGTAGAGTTCCTAAATTAAGGCAGTATCTGATGCTTTTCTATCTGTAGTTTTTATTTTTGCTGTATTTTAACACTATACTATATGCATATTTGACAAAAGAACAACTACAAAATACTTTGCTTTAATTCCTTTACATAATGATAAAACACCTAAACACAAAAACACTACATCTATAGACTTAAATTCTACTAATCACGTTAAACTGCATGCAGCTTATTTGGGGGCTTAGTCTAATTTTAATTTTCTTAGCTCCATCAAGATCATGATAATGAATGTTAAATTCAAGTCCTAATGCGGTTTGCCTTCAGTTGCACTTTCACAGGACTAGTGTGCTTCAGAAATAAATAATATACATGAATAATAATAGAAATAATTTATGCAAATGTAGAACAATTGAAATAGACATTCCCCACCTTGTTAAGTGCTCATCCTAGGGGTAGTTGATGCTATTGATTTCATGTACTAACTAATACATTTATTACTGGTCATAGGAAAATAAATGAACACAAAGTAAGTGAGGAAATATGATATTCACGTGTACATTGTTGCAAACACAGGACCAAAATGAGAAGATATATAACACACTTGGGGGCTTCAAGAAATGTATTACGGCTGGGATCTATTTTCATTATTCAGAGACTTCAAAGTTGCTGGTGATCACAGAAATATTGCTAGCTAGTACATATTATTGCATTTCATAAAACTTAAGATTAGAAACTTTCAAGTAAGGGCAAAGGGTATCTTCAGGACTGTAACCTAAGCACATCAATGGAATTTGGATAGAAACCACAGAGAGTTAGAAATTAAGTGTGTGGTCTATGCTTGCTGATTAGTGCTACAGTCATAGTTCTTGGTAGCAACACATACTGTTATGTGCCCTCTTTAAAAAAACCTACATTTGACAATCCAGACTACTAAAATAGAGAAGGGGTTGATTATCTGCTTGAAGAAACAACTCACACAAAAGCTTCCTCTAAATAGGAGAATTCCGTACTACGTGAGATAATTTGCTTACATACCTTTAATTACTTGACAAAGAAAAACGAGAAGGAAGAAATTAGAAACTAAAGAATTAGGAGCTTTTGCCACTGAGGATGAAGCAGAAAATAAAATTTCCAAACAAAAATTTCCAGGCATATTTTTTGCCATCATATATGTAGAATGATAGAAAATAAAAAAATAAAAACATCTTCCCTGTAATTATACATCTTCTCTTAAGAAAAAAAAAAAAAAGCTGAGCTTAGAGCTTGAGAGATGCCTGGTAGACAGCTTCAGACAGAGCAGCATCTCTTTATACCCGAATTTTCGGAGAATTGTGTTGTACTTATTTATGCACAGAAAACATCTGTTTGCTTCTAAGGACATTTTACTTCCTAAGATTGCACAGCAGATGTCTCTGAGACAGCAGCAGGGCACATAGACCTCGGACAGTATCCCCCCGGGTCTGTACATCATTTCAGGCACTAACAGGCGATCGGCGAGCGGGTCTCAGCCAGCTCCGCCCACGGCCACTCTACTGCCAAAGGGGCGGGGTGACGGTGCAGCGCCCCTGGAAGGTTTTCAGGCGGAGTGAAGTGAACGTGGACAAATAGAGTTCAGATTGGCCCACTGATAACAAACTCGAGGTTTGAAAATCGGCCTTCCACTCAGGGGCTTAATCTGGTATCTACTTCAGTGGGATTTTAAGCAGAGGGATGAAGCCGACGATTTCACAAAGAGCTTTTGATAGCTCCTAGTGTGTGCGGTATTTTGATTCAGTATGAATTACTGAGACTTGCCTGCCGGCTACTCTGGAGGAAAGTTAAGCAGGCACTATCGAGTTTCTGCCACTCGGAAGGAATAAACTGCCTTCTGTTATGCTGTGCTAAGGAAACTGAAAAATACGACAGTTTCCCTCCTTCTAAATTTCAGTGACACTATTGAGGAAAGGGACTCTTAAAATTAACTAAAATCATCTGGAGAATAATGGGTTTCTGAGCAGACCGGTGAATTAAAACATGACTGTATGCATATATATATAGTATAAAGTTATGAAAGAACTTCAAAAATGGAGAAATTAAAGACGTAGATACACTCAAGTTATACCACGTACTTAGAAAAAATTTTAAAGAATTAGTATTTCTTGTGAATTTACACTTGTGATTATACAAATGTAAAAATATCCAGGTCTTTTAGTATTTTAGGGCCATGTTTCAGCATTGCAATTCTTTAGAAAAAAGTTTTAGTTTTGTCTACCTAATTACTGATGCATTACTCATTTTGTTCATCTAATTTTTTAAATAAGGATTTAAAAATTTAATCAATGTCTAAAGGCCGCCATGGTAAGGAATGGGAAAGCAGCAGACAAGGGGTCATGGGTATTTTGGCTGGGGCCACTGGAGTTTTATACTCCTAAACCATCCTGTTCACAGATGAGTGTTGCCTTTTTAGTAACAAGCCTGTCCGTCTTTGTAACTTCCACACCTAGAAAAGTGAGGTAATTAGGTACCCCCAAAACACGTTCCTTTAATAAATGGATGACTAGGCTTTCTTTACGCACTTAAATGATCAAAATGGGTGTATGATCCATCCTCAAGAACAATTTACTTGCAATCATTCAGAACCTACCTAACAACTAAAATATCTAAATTACAGAACATTATGAAGACTATTAATCATCCTGAAAAACAAGTGGTAGGCAAGAGTTAAATATATGCAGAAAAATAAAGTTAGAAGGGAGTCTTTAAGTACCTTTGTAGCTTTGCTCAGATTCCAACCTCCCACCCCGTATCCCTGCTGCCAAAAGTGCCACCTTGTGGAATATACTGGAGTAAAACAAGAAAGCCCATCTCTCAGGACAGTGAGAATTCTGAAACACACTTTTGCAAGAAAAATCACGTCCCTTTCCTACCATATTAACTTCAAATTGCTGTAACAGTATTTAAATAGAGGCTTGAAAGAAACCTGTATGTACTTTCAGGTGGCTCTTGTTTTCTTCTTGAAGGCCAGAGCACCAGTAACAAGGAAACATAAATATGTGGATAGCAGTCCATTCATTTATCTAAACCAACTCTCTGGGAATACTAAGAAATAGAAAACATTTTGGGGGCTGGCCCCGTGACCAAGTGGTTAAGTTCATGCGCTCTGCTTCGGGGGCCCAGGGTTTCACTGGTTTGGATCCTGGGCGAGGACATGGCACCGCTCATCAAGCCACACTGTGGCGGGGTCCCACATGCCACAACCAGAGGCACTTACAACTAGAATATACAACTATGTACTGGGGGGCTTTGGGGAGAGGAAGAAGGAGAAGAAGAAGAAAAAAGATTGGCAACAGTTGTTAGCTCAGGTGCCAATCTTTAAAAAAAAAATTTTTTTTGAAAAGCTGATTGATACTTCATTAAAAAAACCTCAAAACAACTAATTGCGAAAAAATATTTAAAAATCAGACCCCTCCTCTTTCTATATTTCTGTTGTTTACAAAGGTCAGAAGATAGAAAAGGCCAAAGGAATATTTTTGGCTATTTTCTGAAAAATAAGAAGTTAGAAATGCTTGAGATATAGGTATGAAACAAAACTAGGTTGAAAATTGCATTGGTAAGAAATGAAGATACTATTTTCTTATGTTTTTGAGGAAAACACCATTACCAATTACCTGAGGACTTACATTGCTAGACAGGCATTTGGCAGCCTCGAGAAGTTTTCTCACTGTGGAGAAGGAACGCTAACTAACTATCTTCCTCGGCACATATCTGAATGTACTGAATGCAGGTGATAAATGGTTTGAGTTTCACAATTTTCAAAAATCCTGGTGGCATAGGAAACACATCTTTAGAAAATTTATTTTTTCACAATGGACATTCTTGGGCTTGCGTGACAAATGTAGTCTGACGGGGCTGCTGCTTTGCATGAAACAAGGAAGGGATTCAGATGGTTTCGTTTGCTCAGCTCAACCTTTGAAATGGTAACTGTTTGTAATGGCTTTTCCATAAAATTTGGTTTTGAACATCTCAAGTTCATAGTTGCCAGATGACTTTAATATAAATCCTTACAATATACTTGTTAATAAAATATATATCCTTCAAAACATATATAACTTTGAAATTATCCTTCTTTGAACACCTTTTCTCCAGAATTTCTTCTATCCATTGTCCACTGTTTTATGATTTTTAAAGATTTAGAAATCTTTTTATTTTTATAAAATAAAGGCATTGTTTTCATGTCATAATGTAAACCACGCATTCCTTTGAATTCTATCAATATCTAAGAATTTATAATATTTCAATATTTTCTTCCCAAGGTAAATATTCTATAGTTTCTGTACTAACACAATTAAGGCATTATAGTCCTTATTAAGTTTTAACATTATTCTTTCCTAGGCCCAACTATGCAACAAAAACCTGCTTTTGGAAAATGTGAGACACTCTCATGTGCTTATCATAAAAACAGTCAAGTTGTCACTTAGAGAAAAGCAGCAATTCTTTGGAGAGAAGAATTTTAATGTTTATGATATAGTAAGCTTACATGATTTAACTTCCGTGACGGAATGAGAATTGCCATTACTGACTTTTATAGGCACCACTTTTAATAGAAGCAGCTATAGTTCGTTAAAAACTCAATTTAAATACATAATTGAAGGTTCAAAACGTTTGGTACTACTTAATTTTTTTCTCGGCAAGAAGGATAGTACCACATTCTGGAGTCAAACTATAAATTTCTCTGTTAAAAGGTACACGTTTTCTTCAAGATATTAACATCTTGTGCATTCCAAAATTTTCATTTTTTACTTAAGACTAAAAGGCTGAGATTCTATTCTAAGGTGAATATTTTGAATGATTTTTAGTAAGTCATCTGGGGCTAAATGCAAAGTATGCCTTTCATAGTGTGTGTTTCCTGAGAGAAAATCATGAGAATACTGGGGCTGAAATGGCCCAGAGCTTTCTTCCAAAAGAGGTTCTTTGCTCCTTGAGTAGTTCCCATCCACTTCAAAGGAGAGACAAAATGGGAGGCACTAGATTCTTAAAAGCTCCTGGGAATTGTGTTATTAAGGTTATAAGGTTAGGTCCTTATTACCCTTTGCCACATGATAGCTTATGATGCCTCAATAGACAGATTTCTCTTTTACTGTTTTTAAATGTAGGTTGTTACAACTCCACCCTGCACAATAGTTCCCACAGTGCTGGGCTGCCAGAACGGAATATTGTATAGAAACCATCAGGCACATTCTTCTACCAGACCTAGGAAGAAATTCAAGTGTAATTTCAAATCTGTCACCCTATTTTCACTGCTATAATCTGCTTTGGTATAAGCCTGGGGCAGTGTGACCTTTTCAGCTAACCACTGCCTAGCTTTTGGCAAAGTTTGAGACCATAGGTCACAGAAGAATAAGCTGTATTCAGTAAGTTTGTATTCTGCTCTATTCATATTCTGTTCTATTCATATTCTGTTCGTATTCAAAGTGTCCTGATGGCAAGGGTGCCTGTGTGGGATCTGGATTTCAGAAGTGGTGAGCCTGGATGTAAAAGACATAAAACAGAGAGTAATCACTCAAATGCAAGAACCACATCGATGGAAGAGCTGGGGACAGTTTAGAGATGCCAAGATGCCCTCTCATTCTCCCTCTCAGACAATAATTGGCCAAGTATCTAATGCCAAAATGTTTGTGCCTTAAGTTTTCTTTATAAACACTACTGAGAAATGAACAAAAAGCATATGCTAGAAATAACAGTTGAGCTCTCTACTTGTTTAAAATTCTAAAGAATGCTGAAAAAATTCCAGTTTAGAACAGCTGCATTTTTCTTGAGCGAACTTACGAAAAACTTTTGCAAAAGCACAAACGCAAGTTATGTTCACTCTAACCATGGATACTAACCAAAAGATGATGAGTCAAGTGCAGTGAGTTTTAAAATTCAATTTCTAGGCCCCAGGAAAAATGTCTTAGCATTTTGATCCCATGAAAAGCAGGCAGAACTCACTTCTCCAGGGGAGACTCAAAGTACACATTGCTCTGAATACTCTGGATTCGTTATATCTCAAGCATTTGTGGGGATGACAAAACATAATCAATGTTGTCCCAATGAAGAAGTATAAAACACTCTTATGGCCCATCTTCTCATTCATATCTTGCTTTAGAAAAATTTTCCTGCTCCATAAGTTACTGAATTAGAACAATATTAAGCAATATATGTACTAAACAAGAATGGTTCCCAACCCAAAAAGCTCTCAAGGAGAAAAATTTCCCAATTTTTCTCTTGTTCAAGATAGTCATTTACAATATTAAGCTGTGAAGAATTCAGTAAGGCTTGATAAAATGCATAAACATTACCTGGAACATTTTCTACTTAGTGAAGCAATGTCCATTCTTTGAAAACCCTAACTCTAAACATGGTCTAACTGTTGCATGCACTCAAAACATGAGTCAGAAAGCAAAGGTGGCTAAACTTCCCAAAAGATGCTTAATCTCTGTGTCTTCTGGTTCCTAGAGCTGAGTGAGCACTAACCACATATAAAGCAGAGATGGCATGGACTATAAAGTACTTAGAGAACATGGCAAAAGAAAAAGTAAAGCTGTTCACAAGGCCCAGGTCAGGCTGGCTCTGCAGAGAGCAAGAGTGTACACAAGGTACTAGGAACAAGCCTGGCCTGGGGGATGGAGAAAAGATCACTTACAGAGTCAATAAGTATTTCTAAAAAATAGTTAAGGATGTTCCCTCAGATACTACACTGACAATATATTCTATTAAAATGTAAAACACTAAGTAACAGTTTAAAGCAATCTATGTGCTGGTGTTAGAGAAGAGCCAGTCTTCTACGCATTGCCTAGGTAAAAACAGTGAATGCCAGGTAAGGAGATCACATTAGAGCGAGAACATATGGTACTCTGTTAGGATTGTGGAATTGGAACCATAAACCATAATCTGAATCTAACTGTTTATGAAAGGTTCATTGAAAGAAAGCAAGCAAGAGGTGCGTGGGAACAGTGTAAGCAATCTGTTATGAGTTATGTAATGGTAGTAATGTCTAGTAGAGGCGGGGGGATAGATAAAGTGGATACTTTGCAAACAAGGCAGTGCACGGTAGAAAAAGTACAGTGTAATAAGTGGGAAACTTAAATGGCATTCCTGTCTCTAGTCACAGAGAACTACTCTCCAAACCAAAACAGGAAACAGTTTCTGACAGATTCCTAAAATCAAAAACAAAACACAATAACAACAAAAAACAAAAAGGAACTAAGTTTCAAACCAGGAAATAAAGGCTTTCTCTATTTTTTTTTTTTTGACAATTTTGCCTATTTGAGGTATACTCCCTAAATCTACAGCACTTAAGAAAAGCTTAGGGTATTTTTCAAAAAAAACCAATAAAGCATATTATACAGGTTAACATTGACTTATAATGAGTAAATTCAGCTTTTTGAAGAGTAACTAGAAAGTGTGCTTTAAAAACAAATTTGTCTCAAAAGATACTAGAATTTTTTTTTCCTTTTTGCTGTGTGTATAAAACTTCATCTAGATAGTGAAACTTTTAGTGCTAGTAAATTTACTGCTTTTGGCCAGAAAAGAAATGCTGAGGACATAGGCTCAACTTTCTAATCTGAGAAGCCCATTTTGGTGAATCACCTTCAGTCAATAGACACCTGCTGTTTATCTGTTACTTTGAGTCTTTAAAATTCAATTATTCTTGTTGTTTACAGAAAGTAACACTTTAAGAGATCAAGAATCACACACACACACACACTCACACTCACTCGAAAGTACCAAATCAGGCTCTGGCAGCTGCAGAGAGGTTACATCACAACTCAGCTGTGCCTGGATTGCTCACACACTGGCAGCATTCAAGGTTAGAAAAACGAAATGGCAGCACAATTGGTCAGCAGCTTCTCTTCTTCTGGAATTTTTCCAGGTTCTTGAAACAAACGAACAGACAAACGAACAAACAAATGAACATAAAGCTGCAATCACTCTTGCATTGATTTCAAAACAGTAAACTAGACGGTTTCCTTGGAAAGCAGAGCCCATCCAGAAGACGGCAACTAGAAGGTGTCCAGGCAGTGATCCTCAGCAGCTCTGTGGTGCTTACTCAGGGGGACCCATGAGCCACCAAGGGTGTCTCCGGATGATCAGCTCAAGGGAGTGGCTGGGACCTCAGGCTGTATTCATCTCCGAGCTGTTCTGGCTGGGCGGCAGATGGGAATCCAGGTTCTCCTTGCACCTCTCCAGGTCGTGGAAGTATGGGTGAGACAGGGCACTGTAGGCAGATATTCTTTTGGCTGGATTAAATGTCAAGCACTTCTGTCATAAAGAAAAAATAATTGATTCTAATAAAACACGTCCATTTAAATAAAGTGCTTACACAGTTATACATCTGTTCACCGCCACGTACTAAGTGTGTCTATAATGAGAATGACTATCTATTTTAAGGGACACTAAATAAAATGTAAACAGTACTCATCTTATGTATGTCTTAATGTACAAACTGCCCCTCAGGAAACATCTTTTGGGTTGCTGGTGGACTGTTATCTACCCAGAATTTCTCTCCAAGCCACCCAGGTTCTTTAAAAGATATTATTATTATTATTGCAGCATGCATATAACTTTGTTTAAGTAGTGATTTTTCTAATGCCAGCAAACTTAGTGCTATAGTCAGAGTCTTCACCCTAACTTTTTACTCTGTCCCAAGTTTTGTCAATGAGCAGGGATTGGAAGGGGGTTGCCTTGTTCAGGTGTAAAGGGTAATTACTGAACAAGGGTGCTCGGTGGAGGGGGCAAGTAAGGGCTAAAACCTAGACCCTAATTATCCCAATCCACCAGCAAGCCATGCTCCCTGCCCCAGAGCTGCACCACCCAGAGGAAGGTGCCTTCCTTCTAATCCACATCAAGGTGCCATATGGGCTAGCAGCAGCCCTACAAGGAATCCATTAGATTCAATTAAAGTCACTAAACTCTATTCCAGGCTGTCACCTCAAGTTCAGGTAGAAGGTGAAAGGAGAGAAAGGTGAAACTCTGAAGCAGTAATCTCCAACCCAAATGGCTGACACATAATTAAAGTTTTCCTCATCTCAGGTCCATTTCCACTCCAATCTCAGGTAATCTTGTTCTTAAATCCTCCTCCTCTCCTTCCACTAACACCTCTGGAGTGCCTAGCAGGTGGCAAGAACTAATTAACGATGAATAAGACCCACCCGTTGCCTCCAGGAGCTCGTAAATAGCAGAGAAGGGTATCTGAAATGTCTATGCATTTCAGTCCTCTATGTAATCTAAAGATTTAACATTATCGTGGTTATGCAGACCTCTTCCATTTAATCTCGGTTTCTGCCATTAAGGAGCTCACACCTAGTCAGGTCCTGATTGGATTAGGGACCACTCTAAAACTCTGTTGAATGCTACTGACCTAGAAAAACACGTACAAACAGAAAATTCTACATATAACTTCAGGTGAACTTTTGGGTCTCCTGAAATCTTATCGATCCTGAGGCTCCCCACCAGTCCATGGATGACAGCCTCCCCACAGTGTCTTCTGAAAATCAAACAGCCAAAGGGCAAGCAGGGGAAGGAACTTGTTCTTAGAATGATCTGTCTGTAACAGTAATAAACATCTTGAGAAAAGCTTTACAAGGGCTGAATTCCCAAAGGACAGGAAGGCAGGAGCAAAATTCTTGAGCCTGAGTTCTCTCTTCTCAGAGTCCAAGAAGGAGAAAATTAGGTAGTGGCACTAGAAAAGGAAGCAGCCAGTTTAATCCCTAGGACACAGGAAAGAAGAAAAAAAAGTTGTGGTAACACGCTCAAGACACAAAGACATGTCGCTAGAGGATTTTGGGAGGAAGCTCTGTCCCTACAACTCCACTGATGAGTTAGCACCGGGAAGAGGATGCAGAGCAGAAATCCTTAGCCTGATATGGAGGTGTGTGAGAATATCAAGCTGGAAGTCTTAACACATTTTGTCCTTTAGAAGTGTTGTTAGAAAAGGTGCCTAAGTTCCATTACTGCTTTGCTTCAATAGAGCAGTTGGCTGGTTTGAGAATTAACTAGAAAACCTTGTGTAATAATGTTGTTTCCACAAGAAAATTAATTTACTTGCCAAATAATTGACTTATAAAATGAGCTTCTGGAATGGCAACTTAATCAAGAGTTGACCACTGCAGTGGATTAGATCATTTTCCAGCACATATTCCCTTTCTTTCCTTCCTTCTCTCCATGGAAGGAGTATTCTCTCTTCTATTAAAGTTGGCCTTGACAATGTAACTTGTTTTGGCCAATGGAATACGAACAGAAATGGCAGGGTGCCTCTTCCAAGCCTAGTCCTTCAGGGGCACCGTATGTTTCTGCTTGCCCTTCTGGGAGCAGCCACCCTTCTACCATAAGAAAAACACGCCCCAGGGAGCCAAAGCCCTTCTGACCTGGTCATCAGAACGAGGCACAGGGAGACGACCTGTACTTAACCCCATTGGCTGAAGCAGGGTTGCTCCAGATGACTCATGGAGTTGTGTCCACCAATCTGCAGACCCATGAGCAGGAAATAAATGCTTACTGTTGTGTGCTAATGAGATTTTTTTTTTGTTGTCTGTTATGTAGCAAAAGCAGAGTAATAACAATGCCTTCCTCCCAAATGTACCCCAGGCTCTGAAAGCAGTTAGATAGTAAGAACTTTAATACCGTACTTTTTTCAGCAAGAGCATCATATTTGGAATAAGTACCCAGGCTCCTAAGGTAAGCATGATGAAGGGGACAAAACTTGTAAAGACATGTGGGTTTTGGTTGCTAAAAAATAACTCTTTCCCTGAATTGTCTTGTTATAGTACACTACTCATCTTTGAAGGTAAGAGCATTTATAAATGTCAATGTATGATATCCACATATATGACTGAGGCATTATACAAAGTCACCATGTTTTCAGATAAAAATGAAAGATAACTCTTGAAGTCCTAAACTTTTAAGTGTTAGCTGTTTTTTAAATAAAATGACTTTCTAAAACATCCTTCACTTTTCTTCCCTAGTGAATAATTTTCAATAGAAGCAACAGTTACTGCTGGGGTCTCAGTTGCCTATGTTCTTTTTTTTCCATCTTCTCCACAAAGCCCCCCAGTACATAGTTGTATATTCTAGTTGTAGGTCCTTCTGGTTGTGCTGTGTGGGATGCCACCTTAGCATGGCCTGATGAGCGGTGCCACGTCCGTGCCCAGGATCCAAACCAGCAAAACGCTGGGCTGCTGAAGCAGAGCGTGCGAACTTAACCACTCGGCTGTGGGGCCGGCTCCTCAGCTGCCTATCTTGTCCTGAATGGCCCGCCTTCTTCTGCGCTACAGTTCTAGCTCGTGTCCTTCTAGGATGAAACAGTGAGAGCTTTCAGAGGGTTCTGAGCTTTAAGGTCGTGGGCTGCCCTTTCCCTGAATGCCTGTGGGTACTATGCTGTGTGCTGAAGTTGGCCCTCGTCATGATGTTACTGGCTCTGCTTCTTATTCCTCTCGTTGGCTTCTTCTAATCTCTGCTGCCACTCGTTGTCCACCCCCTTCCTTCTCTGATAGGTTTCTTTGTTCCTTTTTCTTCTTTGTCTCTTGCTACTTCTCCAGTCTAGCACTAGCGTGTGGTCTGACTTTGAGAGTCACCACTGCTAGTGGGGGACCCTGAACGAGCATCTGGCAATGTCATCTTTACAATTTAAGTTCTTCGTGGTGATTCTTACTGATGTTGGAGCTAGGAGATACTTTGGGTTGTTTTTGGATGTTCTGGTAGCTGAAGGAGTGGGATATTTCACTACTAAAGTTGTTTATTATTGTGGCTGTCTGTCCAGAATTCTCTTCTAAAAGGAACATTTCATTCAAAGTGCCTGTTGAAAAGGAAAGCCTATGGTGGCCATATTTTATAACATGTGACCCCCACCTGTTCCGAGCCCAGTTGACTGGACCAGGAGTGTGATCTGGCTCTAGGGAGCAACCCATACCACGGCTGGGCAAAGAGGTGAGGGATGTCAACCAGATTCCTCCTTTTAGGAATCTGATACAGGCAGTACTGACAGCACAAATGTTAGCAGTGGGAGTTAGAGCTGAAAGGATCCATGCGATAACTGAAGTTCTGATAGTTAAGGGATGAGCTAGCGTTAAATGGAGCAGACAGTATGACCAAAAAGAAGCAATGAGGTGGAGAAAAGGCATTCATGGCAGAGAAAAGCAGAGTTGCTAAGAGTAGGTGATGCACAGGACAGAGATACAGAACCTATATTCAGGATGCCTTTCCATTTCCAGGCCTCATGAAACATTCAATCAAACCCCCTTTTCTTAAGGCAATACAAGTAAATGTTGTTTGAAACCAAGGAAAAATTTTCCTAAATAGCAGGTGAGCCAGCAAGTGTGTATACATAGTGAACCCTTGTCTAGGTGAATATTCTCCCTTCTGATTAATTTATTTCAAAGGATGTGAGCCCAGGTCCTTAGTGAGCATCTTAGAAATGAACACTGGGGAGGGAATATAGCTGTCCCTATCCATAACTTGGCAGTGGAGGGAATCTTGGCTTAAGCATCAGAAAATGAGCTACATCAGGTGAAGACAATCAGGGCTTTCAGAGGGAAAATCCATGGCTCCGCAAACATGCCAATCAATGGCTGTGTTCACAAAGAGCTGAGGCATAACATTTCTACTAAGAACTATGGACTCATGTCTATATTTAAAATTCAGAATACAATGGCAGAATGGGAATGTTGGCTCCTCCGGGGCTAGGAGCACTTTCTTGGCTAGATATCAAAGGTTTTTAATTCAATTGGTAAAGGGTATACTCATCACTCATTGGATTCCAGACACCAACAGTAGCCCAACAGGTACACTCCTCTACCTACTGTTCTGGTTTCTAAGTATAAGGAATTATGTATTATGAATATTGGCCAGTATTATGAGTTTGAGCCTCAAACAGGGCACAGAAGTCCTATTTTCAGTGATGTATTTTATACGTGCATGGCACATTTGATACTTATTAAATAAATCAGTAACTATTTATTTAATAGTTATTTAATTAAACTCCTTTGGAAAAACATCTTCCCAAAGATGGGCCTATTTAAGAAAAGGCACATTAAAATGACAAGCTGTTTAAAGTAGCATGAAACTGTAGAAAAGGAAAACATAATATCTGCTTCTAGAGAGCTTCTGTCTACATGAATCCAGAGGATGTTAAGGCTGCATTCAAATGAACATTCAAAGATGGTAGATTGAAAGAGTGTGAATCAGCTTCTTTCTCTTTCTATAGAAAATGAAGACACTGCAGAATCCAAAGCCGCCAGCTGTTACGGGTGTGGAAGTGAAAGCTGCAGAGAGACTGTGGCCCCTGCCCTGTGTGGTTGTGGCCCGTGATGCTGAACTGATGCTGTGCCCACCACCCAGTGTGGATGGGGCAAGTCTCTCATCAGCCTAGTGCAGACCAACTTTGTATCTCATGCACTTACCAGAAGTAGGTCTTTGCCTTGTTCATCAATATCTGTTACAAACTTCTCAATCGGTTGAGGAGATTTTGAGTGAAACGCCTGCCGGGGAAGGGCAACATCTCTAGGCCAGTCTTCTTCTCCTGGGAGTCCAATTACGCTACAAAAGAACCACATGTGAATGTAAGCATTGCTGCTATGCTGAAGTTATTATCTCACCAAATTCTAGATGAAGGTGAAGCCTAAGGGGCAGGCACGGGGGACAGAGAGCCCCAGCAGCCCCTCACTCGCATGACTGGCAGGACTCTGGTTTCTCTCTGTCCTACTGCAATACCGTGACGATGGGGCAGAGGGTAATCTCACAGGAGAACCGTAAAGTTCACCAGGAAGAGATGAGAGATTACTCTGGCAGCAGATACTAAATGTAAGAGAGAATGCAGAAATGGAAAATATTATATTACCAATAAGCTCTGACACACTGACAGAGCAGGACCCATATATTCAAAGGAGTACCACATGGGCATATAATATTTCCCTTTACATCCAAGAGTGCTTTTTGTTTCTGATCAAACACTGCCATATTGACAAGCTTTTATGATGCTCATCTAACATGATTTGTTAATGCATAAATTCAGTTGCATTTTTGGTTAAAGAATAATTCCCCACACAGTAATTACATACATTAAAATCAGACCAAAAAAATGAGGCTAAAAGGTATGTTAGTCCTGTGTTACGCAAACACTATTTTATAATTTAATATAAAATTTTTAATTAATTAAATTATATTATTAATATAAAAATTAAATGTGTATAAATGTACTAATATAGAATTTAATTTATATATTTTATATTACATAACTATTTTATGGTATTCTAATGAGCACACGATAAATAAAAGTATAGTTTATGTTTCCCCTGAAAATCATTCTGGGATCAGGAATGTGGAGAAAGCATCAAGTGATATAAAAACAGCACAGGCTTTGGAAATAGGCAGACCTGGGTTCAAACTCTGCATCTGTGATAATTTATACAAATATGTAGCAGAGTGCCCGACACACAATATTTATCAATATCAATACACCACCCATTATTATTACCCTAAGAGGAAAATAATGTTACTAATCTAAAATGCATAGGCAATGGATAGCTGCCATACTAAAAATATGAACTGCTCCAGTTCTACTGATATGTCATTTAGGGTTCTTTAGAATATTAATAGGTCAGTGGCCTTATACAACTTATACATTATGTAGATATTATTTATAGTTTACATATAGGTGGTAAGTAGATTTGAACAAGGGAAATCAGGGATGCAGGAACTTAAATTTCACACAGACTCTGATGAACTGTGAACTAAAAATTTACAGTTTAGCGGACAGAATATATGACTATTGAAATACTGACCAAACTATTTTATCTACAGTTAGAAATGGCACTGCTGGTCGGCATCAGGATCTTCTTGGCCTGTGTTCACTGAGACGAAGGCCCAAGAGGGGGTTCTCCTGAATGGATTTGCAGGTTTCAGGAAGACGTGGCGGTAAATGTCACAGGATCTCTGCAGGGCTTTGCTCTCCTTCCCTTACCTCAACAGAGCCCAGGTCACAGACCTCACCTGGGACGAGCAGACACCAGTGTCATAACTGCACCTGTCACTGGGTGTCTGGGGAAAGACACTGTAATCCTGCCTCTGCCGGGCACACTGGGAGAGCCATATTACTGAGGCAGATAAAGACAGACTCATGGACATATTTACTGGAACAAACGAATAGAAATGACAACTTGAGCAATATACAAATTTAATAGCAAGATTTAGAATAAGAGTAAAAAGAAGAAAACGAAACTACCGCTATTAATTAATAAAGGAAATAAATGTGCATGTAGTTGGATAGAATGGAACAGGTGGAGGAAGAAAAGAAGAATACTTATTAAAGAACTTAAAAAATTTTCTTTCTACACAACAGAATACTATTCAGCCACAAAAAAGAATGCAATCTTACCATTTTCAACAACATGTCTGGACCTTGAGGGCACTATGCTAAGTGAAATAAGTCAGACAGAGAAAGACAAATACTGTATGACCTCACTTTTATATGTTGAATCTAAACTAAAAAAAACTCCCAAAACCCAAACTCATAGATACAGGGAACAGACTGGTGGTTTCCAGAGGTGGGGGGTGGGTGTGAAATGGGTAAAGGGGGTTCAAAAGGTACACACTTCCAGTTATAAAATAAATAAGTCATGGGGGATGTAATATACAGCGTGATGACTAAAGTTAATAACACTATTATTGCATATTTGAAAGTTGCTAAGAGAGTAAATCTTAACAGTTCTCATCACAAGAAAAAAATTTGTAACTATGCACGGTGATGCATGTTAACTAGACTTATTGTGGTGATCATTTTATAATATATACCAATATGGAATCATTATGTTGTACACTTGAAACTAATATAATGTTCCATGTCAATTAAACCACAATAAAAATTTCTTTCATTCATTTTTAGTTTTTAGCCATTTTTATACCAATATTTTTGCATATTATCATGTCACCTAGAAATTGATTATAACAACTATTAATAATAATTTAAAATCTTCTTATTTCACAGTTTTAAATATGCCTACATTAAGTTAAATCTTTCAGGATGGGCAGCTGAATCCCAAAAGCCCACAGAGAAATAGAGTGTCCCTGTATCTATATGTATGTGTGGTATATAATTATTTACACACACACATATATAACTTTATATAAATAATTTTTAAAAGTGTTTTTAAATCTATCCCCTCCTCTGATCTCCATAATGACCTCATGAGACATGTGAGACATGGAGGTCAGGTATTATTACTTCCATTTTATAGATGGGGAAACTGAGGATAAGAATGTAATGAACTACCAAACTCACACACAGTGAGTTCAGCCACAGAGCCCGGAGTGAACCCAGTTCTCCTTATTCCAAATCCAATATTTTGTTTCCATTTAACTATGACTCTGCTCTTAAAAATGCTCTAAAAATGTCACGGGCTAAAAGCATTCAGTTTCACTTTCAAAGTACTTGCTGTTCTTTGAAAGTATAAATCTTACTAAACATAGAAACATTTTTCCCCTTAAGAGAATGTGACTATGGTTTTTCTTTAAAAAAATAATCCAGTTTAATATCCAGTATGAACTTTTATGGCCCATATACAAATGTGAAGTTCTGATAGGTCCATTAAAAAGTGCTTGCATCAAATTTCAGTATTTGGACAGCTGAATATAAGCCTTAAAAGTTGACATTTGTGCTGGAAAGACTGACAGAGCACCAAACCTATTAAATGGCAGTGATGGCGGGGACAGAAATCATTTTTCAAGTATTTTAGAAGTGACACTAGGGTGCAGCATTGTCCCTTTTCTCCACACTAAAGTAATGAGTGCATTTAGAGGAAACAGTACAAAATCTCAATGAAACAACACCAGAAACCAAGAAGTAAAATCCAAAGGCACAAAACATCTAGAACTTTATGGCTTCTTTTCTGCTGGCAACCTAGGATCTCAGGCCTTTGCCAAAACTGGAACTGGCTTTCCTTTGGAAGCAAGTCAAACATGCTCGTCAAAGATTCCTTCTGGACCATCTCACTGGCTTCATATACTAAGGGGCACTAACAACGTTAACAAGATTGCAGACGCCAGTGCTGGAGGTGGACAGAATGCCCAGGTGGTGTCAGTAAGGGAAAGCATCTGAAGGACTTCAATGTCTGGCAAGCCGGTTTCAGTCAAGATCATTTTTCCTTTTAACAGAGGGTCACTGACTTTTACAGTTCCCTCTTCAAGATCACATGCACACAAAATATATTCAGCAGCGATGGGGAAGAAGAGCTGGGAGTTCATCAGTGAATGTTCAAAGGGCTTGACATCCAGGAGCAGAGAGTAGCAGAAAGTTTTGCCCTGAATTCGTCCACTTTACAGACTGGTCAATAGTAGCAGCAGGAGCAGCAGTCGTGGCAGCTGCCCTGGACCCGGGACACCTCCAGACAATAAAACTAGCAAATGTTTTTCAGGCCTTAAAGCGACTGGGTTCTGACTCCGCAGTGGCACTGGCACTAACAGCAGTCTGTTGGAGCTGTTTCCAGTCACCAAGAGCAAACTTAGCATCCAGTTTTATTCCAACTGTTTTAAGAAGTCATGCTTGAGTAGATAGTGTTAAAATACAATTCTTTTCTTTAGTGGTACTTTTCACCAGTTTTACAGACTGTAAATATCACAAAAATCACTGGGATTCCTATAAAATGTTACAGACCAATGATGAGGGCTATTTTTGGTTCCAGAACTCCCACTTTTTTCTTACTCCATCCCAATTCTGATGGGGCTTAGCAAACGCAGAAATCCCACAAGGATGCCATACTGCATGCTTTGTGAGAAGAAAGCCCCTTCATAACATTCTAGAAATACGCAAGCACACATACTCTCACATGCACAAACATGTAGACATGAATGGAACTCTGCAAATCATCCAGGAGCAATGTAACAGATAACTGGAACCAAATAATTTGAGCACCAGAAAGGATCTTAAAGAGAATTTAAGTCCAAAGTTTCCCTTCTCAGGTGAAGAAGTTAAGGAACAAAAAGGTGAACTGAATGAATTATAATAATAGCTAACATTTTAAAAGCATTTACTATGTACCAGGCTCTGTGTAAGCCCTTTCCACAGTATTTTAAATGACTTTCTCAAGACTGCATGGTTATTTAGCCACAGACATAGGATTAGAATCTAGGATTCACATTTCCTATTTCAGGGCTCCAAAGAAAAATGGATTGTGTAGCACACCATCCTTTGCCCAGGAAAACAAAGCAAAATAATGCAAAACCAATCTGGATGACTAAAGGACACTCGATGGGGACAGGAAGCCCAGTGGGCAAGGACTAGGCCACCACGTGCCCTACCTCTGATAGTGGATGCATCTGAAATGACCCCAAGCAGACAACACATCTGAACTAAAGAACTGGAGTTCAGCCAAGTGAAGAAAGAGGAACATCGAAGAGATCCACACGAGCAACATACAAGCTTCCAGAGCAGAGAGGTTAGGCCACGTGTCATGATGGGCTCTGCATAAAACAGCACGTCTACCATGTCCCCACTCACCACACAAATAGTAACACTGCCTGCAGCAGCAGCTTGCAGTAGGAAAGATAAGAGATAAACATATTATATGAACATCAGAGGAAAGTCACTGTCAATGTTTCAATGCTACAGACACTGACGTAAAATTAGAATACTACTTACTCCAAGATTTTTCCTAGTTGATCGACATCTGAACTTCCACGAAAAAGAGGCCTAAAAGAATAAAGACATAGATTAAACAAGGAATTTTCTCAGGTTACATTTCAATCATTTTTATCATTATCACTGTTTAAAGATATTGCAAAATATTCTTTATGGGTGGAGAAGAAGTAAAGAATTGAGACATCTTTCCTCTGGTAAATACAGGTTTTTCTTGTATTTCACTTATGGTAAGGATCTGATGAATATCTGGTGTTTTCCCCGCCATGTTTTATAATCATGGGTATCCACTAGCAGTCATTGTAACAATATTGCCACCATCATATACAGGCCCTGGCTTCAAAGTTCAACTTAACTTGGTGATAGGGTGGAACACATCACTGTCGTAGTCTCAAACCAGGGGTATATGGTATTCTTTGAAACTGTTCTTGGTCAGACCCTTCTCAGAGCGCCCCTTCTTCACCACTCTGCTATCGCAGTGCTTCCTCATGGGTCTCTGTCCTTCCACTTGTCTCAAATGCTGCAGTGAGCTGCCTCTGGGGCTATTTTTCTCTCAATATTATGGTAGCTAATCATTACAAGTTCAAAATCCTAACTCTGGGCTTCAGAGGCAGTTGTGAACACACAGCCCCCACTGTCTACACTGAGCATTTAACTGGCAATTAAATGAGCTCAGTTGGTGACATTTTTGGTGTTTTCTCAAGTAGATCAATATTCCCTGAGAACAGGGACTTCTCTAGGTTTGCCCCTAACCTTTGGCCTTGTGCTTTACCTGAACAGGTACTCAGTTAATATTTTATTTGATTTTATATACACCTATCGTACACATATAAACGTTCCCTAACTCCTTGCTCAATGAATGACATAAACAGGTATTTTTCAACAATAATGTGTTTTTAAAAATATTTGTAGCGCACTATCAGAGATTATACTTTAAAAATATTATATGTCAATTTATAAAACCTTAAACTGAACCTCTTTAAATATTTTCTAGGAACAATAAATGAACGTACTATATAGGTCATATAGGGAGAATCCTGCAAAGTCATAGCAGGATCCATAGCCATTTCAGTGGCAGGAAGACACTTTAAAGGGGGTGGCCCGGTGGGGCAGCAGTTAAGTTCACACATTCCGCTTCTCGGTGTACCGGGGTTCGCCGGTTCGGATCCTGGGTGCAGACATGGCACCGCTTGGCAAAAGCCATGCGGTGGTAGGCGTCCCACGTATAAAGCAGAGGAAGATGGGCACGGATGTTAGCTCAGGGCCAGTCTTCCTCAGCAAAAAGAGGAGGATTGGCAGTAGTTAGCTCAGGGCTAATCTTCCTCAAAAAAAAAAAAAATTATTAAAAAAAAAAAAAAAAGAAGACATCTTAAAATTCCTCGACCATAGCTTCTATTCAGGTTATTATTCTTGAAAATGGTTTTATTTTCAAATGCAGTATAAAACAATTTATTTGTGGCATTTTCATGGGTTACACTGTGTCCTTCAAAATTCATGTTGAAGCCCAACTCCCAGTGACCCAGAATGTGACTGTGTTTGCAGGTAGGGCCTTTAAAGAGGTGATTAAGTTAAAATGACGCTGTAAGGAGGGGCCTTAAATCAATCTGACTAGCATCCTTATAAAAAGAGGAAATCTGGACACGCAGAGACAGCAGGGGCACGTGTGTACACAGAAAAATGATCATGTGAGAACACAGGAGGAAGGCAAGCCAAGGAGAGAGGCCTGAGAAGAAACCAAACCTGCCAACACCTTGATCATGGATTTCCAGCCTCCAGAACTGTGAGAAAATAAATTTCTAATGTTTAAGCCCCCCAGTCTTTGGTATTTTATTATGGCAGCCCCAGCAAATTAACATAGGCAACTTGCAGTTCAGTAACGAAGCCAAATTCATAAAGAATTGTGGAGTTGGGCTCTAAAAGACATCCAGATAGGTCTTAAAAGAGCGAGGTGAGACGTGAAAGTTTTGGAAAGGCCAAACAATGGAATCGTAACAGCTGCTATATAGAGCACTAATGTATCTGACATAGTGCCACGTCTCCTCAAACATTCTCATTTAATTCTCACAAAGACTCCAGGAGCAGGCTGTATTATTATCATCCCTATTTTCTGATGAAGAGACTGAGGATTGGAAATGTTTTATGACTCACCCAAGGACACATGACAAATTGCAGACTTAAAATTCAAACCAGGCCTGCCTGCCCCAAATCCTGTATGTTTCATTATTATGTTGTAAGACTTTTATTTTGGTTACTAATATTCTCTGCAATCATAGACAGTTACTGTAGCTGAGCCTCTGGCGTGAAATAGCACAGGGACAGCGTGAAGAGCTCTTCATGGAGAACATGGTGTCTCACAAGTGGGTGCCTGTGGGATTCTGTAATGGGAGTTCTTTGCAAGCGTCTATCATTAAATTCCTGCTCTACTTTAACAAGGAACAAAGCAAGTCACCAGATTGACTGAGGCTGCCTATTCTCTCTGTAAACTTACTGATGGCCCCTCTAGATTTTTAAATTCTTCCCCCAGTCCAATCTTTTACAGTTTTTTGGTTGGTTGTTTGTTTTGAGGAAGATTAGCCCTGAGCTAACATCTGCTGCCAATCCTCCTCTTTTTTGCTGAGGAAGACTGGCCCTGAGCTAACATCCATGCCCATCTTCCTCTACTTTATATGTGGGACCCCTACCACCGCATGGCTTGACAAGCAGTGCGTAGGTCCCGCACTGCTTAGAATACTGGCAATATTCTAACTTTCCACGATGCATTTAAGCAAATGCTATTATTTTATCTTACATTTGCTACATGTTTTAGCAGAGGACTCTCAAGTCATGTAGTCTACCATACAGCCAGAGCCTGAAGTCTTATCTCTATTGGCTGCATTTGGCCCACAAAATGAAATGTGCTTGCCTTCCTAGAGTTAGAACTGGCCCATCAGTTTGGCCTCCTCTAATGAGCGCAGCAAGCAGAAGGTCTAAATCATAGCCACTCTTCTGTGGACACGCAGCAAAACCTGCTGTGGGGAGTACTGGAAACTCAGAGGCAGCAATTTGGTGTACAGCACAGAAGGACTTTAGGAAGTCACCTTAGGAAGACTTGGCGTGTGACTCTGAGGTCTAATAATTTGGCTTTGCAGCAGACGTGGACGGGCTTGAGTTATACAGAGCCACTGAATCCTGACTGCATGCAATGAACTCCTATAAAATGGATGCAAACACACAGTCACAAGACAATGGAAACGGGTCACATGAAGAGGGGAACAGGCCTAAGTGGAACAGGTTCTCTCCACTGACCAAGAAGTTGGTCATGAATGTGATCAAAGTCTTAGAACCACCTGTTCAGTTTTTGGCTGAAAATTCTGAATACAGTCATGTGTTGCTCGACAATGAGTATACATTCTGAGAAAAGTGTCGTTGGGTGATTTTGTCATTGTGCGAACATCATAGAGTGTACTTACACAAACCTAGATGGTATAGCATACCACACATCTAGTCTCTATGGTACCAATCTTATTGGACCAACGTCATATATGCAGTCTGTTGTTGACTGAACCATTGTTAACGTGGCACATGACTGTAGTTTGTATGAGCTAGTTTTATGATAGTGGATGCTATGTACATCAGAAGCATAGAGAGGTACAATAGATTTAGAGGAAAGATGAAACCTTTCATCATGATGAATTCTTGGGTGTGCTATGGTGGAGTACAAAGATATAAGAATAGGATCACCCCAAGGACCTTATATAATACAATCTGTGTTTAAATACGGCTCTATGGCAGAAAGTCTTGGCTGTATCTCTGACCCATAAGCACCACATGCTGAAGAAACACAGGACTGTGTTTTCATTGAGCTTATTTTGAATACTTCTTCCTTCCTCAGATTAGCTGGGTTAAATCCTTCAATGCATATAACTTGTGGCATATTTTAGGCGGACAAATATGAACATAATCTCTGATTATATTCTTTGGGTTAGTGGTGAGAAAGAGGTTAATTCTACTGACTTGAATAATTTTATAATTGTAGGAATGATGCAGCTAAAACACACACATACCTGAGTTAGACTTGGCTGGTTCTTTATTACCATGACATAGAGCTGAGTTGGAAGGAAGTAGAGGGTTGAAGGAGCAAAATAAGTGAGAAGAAAAGACACCAAAAGACTGAAACACAAAGTGAGATAGAGACAACCCATGGAGGCCCAAAATAACTGAACTGCTTCTTCCCATTGCCTAAAAAACCCACTTCTCCTGGAAATCCTGAGGGTATACTTATAGAGGCTCTGTATGAAGACTGAAGATGGAAGAGGAAGGTTCTATTACAAATCATGAGACAGGGGCTCATAAGAGATAAAAAGTCATACATTTCTTTTGAGTCACTGCATGAGAGGATCCACTACACTATCCCATCTTGTCTGTTTTTAGACATAAGCCTCCCAGGTGGCATGCTTACTAATTCTTTTAAACTAAGTACTTAAAAATAAAATCAACAATAGAGATAGTCTATCGAAGGTAGTAAAATGAAACCTGTTTTTAAAAATATTTCCTCCTTACACACACATTTTTTGGAGGTTAAATAATACAATGGAAGGATTATACCTACCAAGAACATCCCAAGAATAAAGATTGTGCAATTGCTTTACTAGATGCTAGTAGTTAGTTAGTAGTTAGACATTAAAAAAATCCTTTTATTATATAAGACATTACTTAAGGTGAGTAACTTTCATTTATTTTACTATATCAAAAACTATGATTACTTACTTTAGATGACTTTCTAGTAGTTTAGCCAGGTGCTTGGGTAATGGTGCACTAACTTGATTTGCTAAAGACCTTTGTTGAATCTAAATTTCATGAATCCCATTTCCAATTTTATACCTCAATTTCTTTTCTCTTCACTTCGCTTATGATCCTTTTTCTTCAGAAGATTTGCTCCACACTCACTTCTTGGGACCATTACATTCTATTGCATAAATCCTCCTTCTGTCTTTCATGGCCCTGAGCCTCTTTCTTTTCTGAATTCCCTCAGAAACTACAGAGGAGCCTACTGGAAGGACTATGCCATGCTACCC